ATTAGGCACCTACGTGGGCCTTGATGGCTGCGGACTGCTTGCAAGTGTTGCGCCTCTATCTTCTCAGGGGCCGGGGCCGCTTGTGCTGCGCATTCGACGCATTTTTGTGCTCGTCTGCCTTGCTTGCGCACATCAACAGCCACCTCCTTCCAGCGCCCTTGCACATTTGGGCTGTTGCGAGACGTGACAAATTCCCCACAGGCCAATCGTGTGGGCCTGTGCTTTTCACCCGTTTCTGAGCGTGTTGCAAGATGTGCACGTGTGTGCTGCATGATTGCGCATGGGCTCAAGTCAGCGGGCTGTGGCATAAGGACCGCTTCATGGCCCTCTGGCCTTCCAGCGACAAGTGGCTTGTCCCAGGCGGCATCTGTCGTGTCGTGTGATCTGCCTGCCGCATACAGCACCGTCCTTTATTGACTAGGGCTGACGCCGGCACTCTGTAAAGGGTCAGGTTGTTGTGTGCATGTCCTGATGGGAAGGCCAACGTACTGCAGTTTTGAAAACAAAGAAAATCAGTTAACTTGGCAGGTCACAGAGTGCAAGCAAGGGGCTGGCAGATGAGTCGGCACCAGACGAGGCTGTGGAGGCGGGAAACCCTGAGAAACCACCATCATCTGTTATGGCCAGCAGCAGCATGAAGGCCTCAAGAGGATGGGTCGCGGTGTGATTGGTAGCCTAATTCCTGAACAGCAAGTGCACGCGCCCCTTGGCAATCACTCCTTCCATGGCGCACAGCCAGCAGCCTGCACGCCCCAACTTTTCTGAGCAGTGTTGACGCTGCTGTTGAGCTTGGTTTCAAGCAGCTCACAAAACCCAGGCTGCATGAAGCATAAGTACTCGCTGCCACTGCAACTGCGTGAAACCCGTACTGTTTCTCAAGGCCAGCCATATTGCTGGTGGATCAATGGTCAAACAAGCGCTGTATGTTGCAGGTATGACACAACACGATCCTCTGGAGACCAAATAAAATCTACAACGCATCGTCCAAACTACAGCCTCCCGACCTGCTTACGCCGCTGTCTGTGCATGCGATGCGGGTGCTTTGGGTTGCAGATCTCACCGCCATGCCGCAAGCAGCAGCTGCCAGGGACGCGCCACTTTGACCATCGCCCGGCGCTATTCAATCAACAGCCGCCCGCTTGCAAAGTCATAAATAATTTTTCACTTTCTTTTTCGTATCGCGCACTATCCTTCCACTCACAAGCACGCAGAAACGCCGCAGCATCAGCAACACCACCAGCCCACAGACGACGTCTTCACCGCCGCGTGGACTCCACAGAAGACCCTGAAGACCTTCAACATCACGTACAACATCTCCCCCGCGCTCGAGGGTGGTGGACCTGCGCGGTCCTCCGTGGTGCTGACCAAGCCTAGCCCACGGAGCCTCCGGTGCCCTTTTGGGCGATGGTCCTCCGACTTTGCCTTTCCGCAATTACGGGGGACCGCAGATTGGCGAGTAGGGCAACGATCCAACCTACTGGGTTGGTATTGCGCCGAATTCCTTTGCCACCACCCGCGAGTGCGGCCGCGCTACAGAGACATCATTCTACGTTGTCCGAGTGCGACGCAGCGGCAGCCCGCCGACACCAGCAGCGGCTGCGTACAGCGCAGCTGGTCAGCAGCAGCAGCTGGTCAGCAGCAGCAGCAGCAGCAGCAGCAGCAGTAATGCAGCATAGATCAGGTGCGCTGTGTGTGGTGCATGCAAAGCTTTGCAGTGCATGTAATGTTTGCTTGTGCGGCTTTGGCCGCGCGCTCTCAACTTCACCGCAGGCCGGCGAGGCATCCCCCTGCGCCGCCAGGCGGCTGAGGCGCCGAGCGCAGGTGTGCTTGTAGTCGTGTGCACCGTATGGCAAGGACAGGGCACTTCAGGGCGTGTTGTTTGGTGGTGCGCTGTGCTGCACGGCCATGTGCGTCCAACTCTTGAAGCTCTCCACATCTGCCCTGCCCTTCTCCAGGTCCAGATGAGACGGCTGTGAGCGCCGCCGCGGTGGGCGCGGTCTGCTGTACCCAGCTGTGGACGCCTGCTGTACCCAGCAGGGGACGCCGGCACAGGCTTTGTTGTCAGTTTTGAGCTTGATTGGACTGGCCTTTCTAGCCCTTGTCTTTTGTAACCAGATTCCATTGTGCTGCAACGCTAGTGTTGGACAGTACCGGTAGTCGTGCGGGCCAGCTGTTGGGTTTTCCAAAATGTGGCAGGTGCATAAGCTGTGGAGAATTAGCAGTTGACAGCGCCATAAAATCTCGATTGTCAGCAAAGCCGAATGGTCTCAGCCATTGTCAAAGCGCTCGCTGCCGTTGTGTTGTGCCATCATGTGTGTGTGTGTGTGTGTGTGTGTGTGTGTGTGTGTGTGTGTGTGTGTGTGTGTGTGTGTGTGTGTGTGTG